CATGTGTTAAGTTAATAAATAGGTATCTATTGAGAATGTTTAGGAGTAAAACTATCCACTCTAGCCTGAAGTTATTGTTCAAATTTACACTTTCCTTTTTTTAGGAAAGGATTAAGAGTGGGAATTTCCCACTTCACACGACAGTGCATTGTGATGCATGTTAGTGGGTTTTTTTATTGAAAGACAACTAATCAAAAGAAGACACTTGTCTAATTTGTTTAATAGTTTGAGTACAGGTGTCTGAATAGAAGAGATACATGTGTGTGACTAGGGGAGGTTTTGGCCTTAAATCATTCATTTAATATATATATATATATATATATATATTAGATTTGAATTTCAACGCCTAATTCAAATTCTCTCATTAATTCCTTTAATTAATCATCCCCTATCATTAATTTCATTTTGTTAGTGTTAAAAACTTCAATTTTAGCTACAAAAAGATTTGAACCTTGGTTACTTAATTTTAACAACTACAAGTTCGCCAATGAACCACACACATTTGTTTTCTATGATTATATGTATTTTTAATTTTAGGTAAATTTCTCTTTCCTTAATGAGTGACAAGTTTTTATTAATAAATGCCAGAATTATTTATTAAAATTTATATACAAATAAATATTAAGATTAATTATATTGGTTTTTGAAAATTGACATTCACATTTTAGTTTTTTTGTTTTTTTTGCATTTTAGTTATTCCATCATTTTTTAATGGTTACTAATTGTCTCCCGATATGTCACAATTTATATAAACCATTAAATTATGGTTTTTTACATTTAAATGACTTATTTACAATCATATAAAATTTGTAAATATAGTTAGTAATATATTTTTTAAGATTTATTTGAATTTTTTACCATATTTATGCGTATTTCAATTTTTCGTTCGTATCCAAAGCATATCCCAATATGTCTCTTAAATTTGTCTTTCCGATACACATTACGTTTTCGATACTTTGAATCTTGTCATCATCATCATCATCATCATCATCAAAAATTTCCACGTACAAATCACATGCAGAGCTATTACTTTATTAGTTCTCTCTAAATCTATAAAACAATGTGCAAGACAAACAAACAAAAGTACCCAATTAATTTTGAGGCAAACTTTCGTCAATGGGACATGTCTCRTGCTGGACTTATGGCAGTTGTAATCCCAACCTGTTCATCATATTCTGGTAGCAGATTTGAGATTTCTCCTGGAGAAAAAAAAAATAAAATAAAAAAAGATATTATTGAACCCATGTCTCATGCTTGCCTAATTTCTTTTAGGCTACAAACTTGGATGAATATCAATTTGTCAAAACGATTTTATGAACTGGTAAATATCAATGATACCAGAAGAGCTTTGACCTATCATAGTACACCCGTGAATTTTGATGAATACCACCTCATTGGGCACTTCTTTTATGAAATTTTTTTTAGTACCGTATCATTGGTCAACCCCTGGTAAAGTATCATATGGGATTACAATCAAAGTATTATATTGCTATTAATTTAACAAAACCCGAATGCAGCTAAAATCACCACCCTTGTACTATGGGGTCTGTGACAGACCCTTCTGTACATTGTTTTGCAACAAAGACCCCTTGTACGATAACCGTGAAACAAAGACATCCTTCTGTTAGCTTTCTGTTAAAATTGGCCATTGCAATATTTTGTAATCCCCATATTACCATTATAATAATTATTTGGACAATTGAAGAAAAATACAGTTCATCTTTCTCAACCTCACGATACATCAACAGCAGAGGTGATAGCTGTTGCAGCGGCGGCAGACTTCGGTTGAAATCCTCCCTCTCTCTCCCCCGATCTTTCTTCTTCCCCTTCCCCTTTCTCTCCTCCCCTTTCTTCCCGATTTCTTCTGTTTTCCGTTCCTTGCATACGGAGAGAAAGAAAGTAAACTAATAATGGGAGCCATGACATCACTTTCTTTGCTTAATTACTGTGGAGAAAGATGCATTTTAGCCTTAACAAGCAACGGAGAACTGGCCACGTCTGTGTCATACGTGTGTGAGATGTTCTGTGCAAGGAAAGCATCAATTTGATTGGCTTGAATTATTGCAAGCAACAACTATTTTGGACAGCTAGCCAGTAAAAACTCTATTTTGGCTGCTATTAAAATGACGGAAAGTCTCAAATGGGAGAAGGTTTTCTGAGCCGGATTCTTAATCAGCAATCAAAGCAATAATCTTCTGGTATTCCTTGGCAGTTTCTGTTTTGATAGATCAAGTCTCTTCAAAAATAGAGCAACACATGTAGTTGCTCAAGAAATTAAGAAAAGTGAGAAGCAATTACCTCTAGGTGCTTGAGATCAGTCGCTGTAGATACATCCTTGACATTAGTTAGTTATAGATGTTTAAAAGGTCATCCCAGCTGGGTATGGTCATATTCCTGGTGAGACCATTTGCAACTGCTCCAGGGTAGAGAAGGGCCTTCACCATCACCAGAGAAACTCTCACTTGCTATCAATTGAGAACATGTGACCTCTATTGGTGTTGTACACATCCCAGATAAMTATGGGACCCTGTGAAACGAACAGAACTGGATTCCATTAATATTCCAAACAAGCAGAACCCAGCTGTTTGATTTCCCCTCCAAACTTTTGCATGTAACAAAAAGAGATTTATTCCATTTCAATCGAGTAAGCCAGGCGAAAGGAGGCCCTAAAAACTAATGTCATCTAGTCTGTGCTTTTAAGCTTAAGAAGAACAACCTTATCTACAAGGAAAATCATGAAATCCCATTGGGTTAAACTCCAAGATATGGAAAACACGGAAAAGCAAATCTATTGTCTCGCCCATTTGTTCGACGTAGTTAAAGACAACTATAAATTGGCATTTCAAGGTCAAAGGAGATGCATTTATTACATGGAGAGAAAAGATACAAAATCTAGTTTCATCTTTCATGCAGGTGGAATTTGGCCTCTTCTAGGATCAATCTGAGATCAATGTAGGTGGAATTTTCGAAGATAATGCAAACCCAACATATATATAGATGAAGCACAACATCAGAGATTCATGAAGAAGCTTTACTTTATTACTTACCGGATCGTAAGCCATTGGACAAGCATAAGACCAGTAGAGGTGAACATTGCAAATTAAGGAGAAGGTTTTAAACCCATATCCTGAAAAATGGTTTGAACCATTTTGTTTGGTTTTATTCCATAATTAGAATGCTTCCATTGGTGCTTCATTGATACAACCAAGGAGGGTTCCAGATTATAGAACATTTAAGACTTCCAAAGCTTCTAAACCACAATGCAAAGAGCAGAAAACAGAGGAAATCGGAAAGAAGAGGAGAGAAAGGGGAAGAAGAGAGAGGAGAGAAAGGGGAAGGGGAAGAAGAGAGATCAGAGGAGGGAAAGGGACGACTTGGGAAGTCCGCTGCCACTGCAACAGCTACCGCTGCTGCTGTTGTATCATGAGGTCAGGGAAGATGAACAATGTTTTTCTTACAATTGTCCAAATAGTTATTATAAGGGTAGTATGAGGATTAAAAAATATTACAACGGCAGACTTCAACAAAAGGCTACTAGCAAAAAGGGGTCTTTGTCTCACAGTCATAGTACAGGGGGTTTTTGTCGCAAAACAAAATACAGGGGGGTATTTTTCACAGACCCMATAGTATAGGGGGGTCTTTGTAATTTATGCAAAAAAAAAGAAGAGTTTTGAGTCAGATTGCTTTCAATTTGCTTTCTATCTAGCGGATTTGGCATTGTGCTATTGTACATAAACAACCCAATGAGACAAATCCTTAACTCAGAGACAGTGAGAAACTGGTCCTCTTTTATGCTGATTGGGAAAACAAACTGTATAAAACCAAGCCCTAAACTGCTCTAAAGCAAAAGGATTTTGATAAATTAGGATTAAGAGAACTACAAACAGTAAGAAATTGCCAAATAATACTCATTCATGTGCAGTTAGAGTAATACTAATATACTTGTTCCCCAGAAGTTAAATGTGTGGTGAAACTGCACTCATTCATGGCTTGAAGTTAAAAACTAACATAACTTACAGTAGACAATAATGGTGATCCAGCACTATCACAAAATTGAATTTCATGCCCTGTGATGAAAAAAAAAAGTTCTGTCTGGTGCTTATCTGATACAAAGAATTGCGGCAATTGCAGAGAATAATCAAATAAACCCTCGTGCAGAATTGGCCTTAGCATCTTTAAAGACTATACTGATACCAGACCAAAAATTCCTAACAGGTTGATGGCAGGATCCTGATCACTAGGAGTGCCACTCGGTTGGAATGTTATGACCCCTACCTTGGTACCATTTTCTGATAGTGACTCTTCCCTGATGAGAACAAGCTCTTGCATCCATGACTTCTTTTGAAGTAGACATGATTTTCAGCCTTAAATCCTCATCATATAGAGTTGTAGACTCAAAAATAAGTCTGCACCCTGAAGGCAGAAGACATCAATCACTACAAATAGTTGGAACCAATACCAGCATGTCCAACTAAGAAGATAATTAGTGCTAAAACCAACCTAGAAAGATGACCACAACCATCTGTTATAATCTTATTTTTGGAATTTAACTGATGCAGTTCATATGAATTTCCAGAGAACAAATGGTAGTTTTCATCGATTGTTCCATCTTTTAATTAGGTTTTGTAGGCGGAAGCCATAATAGGCAGACCTTCTATGCTTCAAATAAAATCTGCCTGCCACAGGGTTGATAAATTTTCTCACTAAAACTAAAAATTCTATGCATCTATGGTTTGTATAATTGTATTCTCACCATCTCCATTTTGCTTCAGTAATACCTATTTTAACCAATGTACAAAACATAGTTTTGGTCGAGGTAGATGAACATCCAAAACTCTATTAAACAGAAGAATCCAGGTTGCCAACAAAGATGAAGTCACGGAGACCTGTAAAATCAACTGAACAAATCCATTTGATAGTGATATATCAATGCACCAGTCATTACCACTGTTGGAGCCACAGCCATGAAGGATTGACCTTAACCATGTACCCTGTTAAAGGACGAACACAATACAACGAAATGCATTTATTGTATTTGGGAAGAAATCATTCATGGGCTTAGACATTTTGAAGTAATGAATAGACAACTTTCTATTTACATTCTCGCAAAACATGCCTACTAGTCCTACTAGACCTTCAGCAAATGGCATTAACATCTAAAAAACTACCTATTAATCCTAAACCAAGACCTTCAGCAGGAACCATTAAAATGCAGAAACAAAAACAGAAAACTAAGCTATTTCTGTCTAAGCAGCTTCAAATGTGAGAAAGAATCATCAGTGGATGATTTATCATATCCCAGGTAGTGCCGTTCAGTCTACTTTTCCATTACTTTCTCATTCCTTCAGTTATCCACTTCTTTCTGTGTTAAACCAAAATGAACCGTTTCAACTTTCAATCAACGCATCGCCATCAAGGTGCGAACTTTGTTTTCTCTCTCTGCCTTCTTAGCAGTGGGTGTCCTCTTTAGTCTCCGGAATTCTTCCATCACGACCTTCTCAACTTGGTCTATTGAGTTCAAGAGTTTCTTCTGTGGGGTCAGGACATCAGATCCTCCAGCAACCTGATTATCAATACCAAGCAAAGATTTGGCCAGATAGCCGACAGGTGGTGGGCAAGCCTTATTAGCAACTTGATTTGGAGAGAGAACAGAGAGGCTATGCTCGAGGGGAGAACATGAAACAGGTAGGTTAGAGTCATGAATATTCAACTCCTGTGGTGAAGGGCTGATAAGTCGTTGGCTTTCAGCCTCTCTCAGGCGAGCATTTCTCCTTTCGACAGCCTAAAGAAACATAAAAATAYAGAATTCAGACTCGGACCCAACAAGGAAGAAGAGACCAAAAAGGATGAATGAAAAATAAATCTGCAAAAATGCACCAAATGCATGAGAAAAAKATGTTCGACAGAATTTGTACCACAACTAAATTCAACAATGTACCCTGGTTCAACGTCACGATCTAAAAGGCAACAGTGATTTCAGTAATCATCAAAGGTGCATCTGAACCTTTTCTGCCTAGATTGAAAGAATAACTAGTGGATATTACATTTTGTAAGCTATTTTCGGCCATTCTCAATATTGGGGCGATCCAGAATAGATTGAAGGGAAAGGAGGGAATAAAAGTTTCAGGAAAGAAGCAATAAAAAGTTCAGGAAAATATCAAAATAAAGAAACAGTGAGACCAGGAAGAAAATTTACCCGTATAATAGAAGTAATGTCGCGAAGAGGCCTCCTGGGGCACCAAGAAGGCAGAGGAGTGGTTGCAGCACGTCCTCGGCTTCGGCCACTTCTCGCCGCCGGAGTATTCTGTCGCCCCAACAACGGAGACCTGTGTGAAATCCGGCCACGCCCATTTGCCGACCTTGGAGTACCATAAGCCGCCCTTCCAATATTGACGCCCCGTGAAACCACTGTAGCTCCCACCCTTGCCGTGCGTTCCGGTAAAGCATCCAACCTCGCAGTTCCCCGGGAAATTGGAAAACCGATGAAGTCTCGACCATCGGAACTACCCAGTCTTGAAGGCGAGCCGAACAAGTTTGCTGCACCTCCGTCACCGAATCTTAAAGGGGAGCCAAACAAGACCCGTCCATCGCCGTTGCTGATTCTTGCAGGAGAACCAAACAGCCTCCCCCCTTGTTCCATATCGAGCGGATCCGCAGCCGATCGGCGACGAACAAATAACGACGCTGTGGGGTCCGGTCTGATTAACCTGTCTCTTGATTCCGGCATTGTTATCTTTGTCTAAAACAAGAAAATTTATAAGAATGCGTATTACTATTTCCGACGAACAAAGAATCAGATTTCCGATAACATACGCAAATCTGAAAACCTATTAAGAAAATCAAACAGAAAGGAGGAGAAGATTTGAAAACCGGAGACTACCTTGCTTCAGTTCTTGAGGATCTGGAGTTCACGATTGGTGGGGTTGAAGAGGAGGACGAAGTAACGTTTTAATGGCTTCCTCTACAGCTGAATCTGAAATTTGGAAAAGCTTCGAGAGAGAGAAAGAGAGAGAGAGAGAGATGAAAGCGTGAAATTTGAAAATTAAAAAGAGCGGCTGAATTTTGAAAAGCTAAAACTAAACCCGGGTTAACACTTAACACAGGTCTACGACTCAACGTTGGTTATCGCTTGGAGCGTTGAGAGTGAGTCCCGTCGTCCTGGGAATGGCCGAATGGGATGGCAATTTTGAATTTTCCCATCCCCGCCGGCTACCCGGCTGGTCGGTTCGGGTCGGGTCGAGGATGGAAATTGTTTGGCGGTGGCAGGGACGGGATTGGGTCAATCGGGTTGAGTCGGACCGTGTTGGGGATCCCCGATCAAGGATGGGGACGGGGTGGGTAGTAATGCGTCTCGGCCTCCAATATTATGCCGTTTGGCATGTACTCTTAGAATGATCTTTTTGAGTCTTTCTGCATACGTCTTTTGGTATTTTCAACTTGTGGTTATCAAATCAAATGGAAAAGGATCAGTTTTYACTTTTGAACTTATGGGAGCCCCTAAAAACCGCATGGAAAGATTTGCCAAACACCATCTATATATTAAGACCATGCTTGATCGAGAGATTGAGAGTGCTTAAAAATAAGTGTTTATTCAAAATAATTGCTTATTTTGGCCATTAAGCACTTATTGGAGAACATCTCATCCTCTGCATAGTATTACGTAGGGAGAGATGTTCCTAATTCACAGGGGGTAATGTATTGTGGGTAGGCGTGGGCAGCTGGAGTCGATTGAGGCCCTGTTTGATGAAATACTTGTTCACAAGTCTTCTTAAAAGTACTTATTTTAACAATCCTTTAGGCTGTTTTGTAACTCACTTTTCAAATCACTTGTTATGTTTTTAAGTACTTATTGGGGTGGGAATGCTTGATAAGCTACTTTCCCCATAAGCGTTTATATTTATTCAAATGACATTTTTAACCCTCACTTTACTTGTACATATATACAATACTTTTCACATGTTATACTATACATTTCAACTGAGAGCCCACGTGGATCCCCACATGGCTGTCATGTGGATCCAATTAATAATAATAATAATAATAATAATAATAATAATAATAATAATAATAAAATTATCATAATAATAATTATAAATAATGTTAATAATTAATATTAACAAATAATGAATAATATTGATAAATAACAAAATACTACCAAAAAGTACTTTCAAGGCGTAATTTACACAAAATACTTCTAGAAAGCACTTTCAAGGTGTAGTTTACACAAAATACTTTCAGAAAGTACTTTCAAGATGCAGTTTTCACAAAATACTTCCAAAAAGTGCATTTAAGGCGTAGTTTAAACAAAATACTTTCAGAAAGTACTTTTAAGGCGCAGTTTTCACAAAATACTTCCATAAAGTGCTTTTAAGGCAATTTATACAAAATACTTCCAGAAAGTACTTTTAAGGCATAGTTTTCACAAAATACTTCTAGAAAGTACTTTTAAGGCGCAGTTTTCACAAAATAATTCTAGAAAATACTTTTAAGGCACAGTTTTCACAAAATACTTCCAGAAAGTACATTAAAGGCGTAATTTTCACAAAATACTTTCAGAAAGTACTTTTAAAACGTAGTTTTCACAAAATACTTCCAGAAAATACTTTTCAAGCACAGTTTTCACAAAATACTTCTAGAAAGAATTATTCATGACTGCATTTTATTATTTTTTTTTACATAAGTGCATGTTTATACCATCCTACCTCACACCATAGACAAATATCATGGCCTAGGCCTATTTGACATTGGCCTTGGTTGGGCCATAGGCTGAAATGGGCTTGGGCTTAGACTTCCTTGGCCTTGGCAGATTTTGGATGTGGGTTGGAATGGTTTGGACCCAAGGTTACAGCCGGCCTATATGGCCTTGGCCGAGTTGGGCTAAGCATGGAATTGGTTTGAGATGAGCTTGGGCCTAAGGTGGGCTTCTAGATTGGAATGGGCTTARGATTCTAGGTGGCAATGAGCTTAGGTTGACATTTTGACACTTTAGTTGGACTAACTAAGGGGATATGGGCTTGGACCTAGGTTTAGTTCTCAAAGAAAATCTCCAAAGAATAAATACCTAAAGCCAAGTGTATGAATTATGATCAGAAATTTCTGGGATTTTCAACTATCCATGAAGTTAGGTAACCCTTAGTTGACCTCTTAATGTTAGCAGTTGCTTTGGCTCAATTGTTAAGCCCTAATCCTAAGGACTAGTTATCATCACTGGTTTTTGTTTCACAGTTTTATGTTTTATTATTGATGATTTCATAATTTTAGATTTCCAATGAGAGATCTATCATAATTCATAATAGATTTTAAACATTTGAAACAAATCTTTTTCAATTTGTACTGAAACAACCAATAACAACATCAAACGATCAAATACCAATAAAAATAAGATCAATATGTGATAAAAATAAAAGTCAACTTTTATGAGGATGGGAGAAGGTCCGGTGGGGCACAACCCAACCTGAATTCAACTTTGGGTTAGGATTGCCTAGATCAGTTGAAAGTTGGGTAGGGTTAGGATTAGGTTCAGGGGTTCAAAGCTGGTTTTTTCTTTACACAAGGTGCTGGCAATGGACAAGTTCTGAAGAGTTCTCTGTCAAGCAAATTACTAGTTCATTTCAGCCCAGCCCCTGGCATAGAAATTTCTAGTTCTGAAGAGTTCATTTTAGCAAATAGCAAGTTTATCTCTAATAAGTTGCATATTTGCAATTGATCAAATCTTTTCAGCATGGAAGTATAAATTCAGCTAATGCAACCAGAAAATAATTAAGGACATATCAGAATGAAGAATGGTGAATTTTTGCTCTAGGAAAATGTGAAAATGTTGAAAAGAATAAGAATTCTTGTGAAATTAACATTGGAATGTCGTCATTCTTTTTGAGTGATTTCTAAACCCTGAGTATTGTAAAGAAAAGAGGTCTGAATTTACCTATTTCTAGCTGTAAGATGTGGAGAAGAAACTTGCTTTGAAAATAGGTAGGCTTCCAGTGGTCAATGCCAAGACTTTAGACTCCTACTTACACACAAATCAGAAATTAGAACATTGAACAATTAGAAACTTGCTTTGAAATAGGTAGTTTTTCAGTGGTCAATGACAAATCTAAAGAGTGTCCCTGAATCAATTAGAACATTGAACAGATCTTCCTCAAACATTGAACAGTTGAGGGATCCAGATTCCGGAGTGTCCCTGAATCAATTAGCCGCACTGTTATCGTACAGGTCAAGAACTGTGTAGCCTATTGAGAAATTCTAGCTAAAATAGGAATTCATGCAACTCTTGCATCCCTCAAACATGGAGGGACCCATGAAAAAGTTGGACATGTCGTTTAGTGGGTTTCACACACTGTACGTAGGGAAAAGAAATCCACAAGAAAGAAGAATAACTGAAGAAGCAAAACAGATTTTCCATGAGGTTATGTGCTTTTGAGGATAACGGCCATCAATTACAAGTGCATAAGACCAATTAATGCAGCAGTCTTTTGATGTAGTTGAAGTTGATCTCTAAATCTGGGTTAGGGCTCTAAGCAAATCATTATCAAACCTTTTTCGAGGTCTTTGTCCAGTTTCAAGTTAAAAAAACCAAACTTACCTCTTGTCGCCGGTGGCTGGATGGTGAGAATGTCGCCGTTCAAACAAGGGAGTTCAAGTGTAAATCTGTGAAGAACAGGGAGTTCAGGTTAGAAAAAAAACCAAAACAAATGATTAAAATGAGAACCACAAACTTCAGAAAATAGGAGGAAGTGGCCAAACGATAAGTCCGCCGGCCACTGTTCCTCACCGCTGATCGTCATTGGTGGACCTACCAACTAGTGCACCGCTGCTGCTAGGATTTGAGGATCGAATGAGTGGAGAAGGGAGAGGTATAACCTCGCTGGGGTGATGGAGGCCCATCCCAAGGCCCACATCACCTTAGGGGCGGCAGCTCATAGGATAAGGATAAGGATAAGGTTAATTCAAGAAAGGATAATTCAAGAAGGGATAATTCAAGAATTCAAGACTCATCAAGAATTCAAGAATTCAAGACTCATCAAGAATTCAAGATCCATCAACATTTCCAAGAGTTCAAGATAATCCAAGACTTCCAAGATTCATGCATGGAGAAGATCAAGCCAAAGAATTCGATCCTATCAAGACCAAGATCAAGAAGAATTTGATCCTATCCAGATTAGATGTTTTGATATCTATCTTAGTTGTTCTTTCCTAGTTCTTCTACAATTTCCAGATGTACTATAAATGTTGTTCTTTCCAAGTTAATACACACTTCAGATTTACACTTCAGATTTTCTCTTCAATTCTCGCCACCTTTTCTCTCTCCTCTAGATATTTTCTCTCTTTCTTGTTTCGCTAGAAACTTGGTTCGCCCGGTGCTTGCATAGCCAGCCCGGTTTATTGCTTCCACGCTGCGTCAAGTGGTATCAGAGCAGGGAATTCGCCCAATCAGATGACCAACCAAGACGGTAGCAGTCGCAACCCACCCCGTGACGGAGATCAGGGATTCCCAGCTGTTTGGAGAGCAATCGAAGAGCAGCACACAGCCACACGTAACATCGAATAGCAGCTGGCAAAGATGGTTGAACAACTATGAACCTTGTTACGGGAGGTTGTTCCACGGAACCGGGAAAATCCACATCCAATCGAAAGAGACGACCACGACAGACCGCCCGTCAACGCTGCATCTCGGCGTCCAGTTCTTGACGATGACAATGATGATGAGTTGGAATTTGGTGGTGCTCCAGTTTTTCCCGACAATGACAGAAATGGCAGAAATTGGCACAATCAAGGTAATTTCAATCCCCGTAGGAATAATGATGAATTTAAACTCAAAGTAGATATTCCTACTTTTAGTGGAGATCTTAGCATAGAGGGACTTCTAGATTGGATCACAGAAGTCGATCGTTTCTTTGAGTACATGGAGATACTAGAGGAACGAAGGGTAAAATTGGTAGCTTTCCGATTAAAGAGAGGCGCATCTRTTTGGTGGGAACGCCTAAGAGAGACCCGGATCAGAGAAGGAATGGGTCATGTTCGAACCTGGAGGCGCATGAAACAGCTTATA